AGGTTTGGTGCTATATTGAACAATTTTCAAAAAGACCCTTTATAGAACCATCTACAACACACTCTCCATCAATCCGAAGAACCATTTCACCATGGAAAGAACCATTTCAGCATGAAATGGTTCTATATAGAACTCCTGGTTTTAAATAAACCACAGCCCTTCTTAAAGATCCTTGAAGGAACATTTGGTTTTACACGAGTATGCTACTGTAGCATGGTGCAAATTGCTCTAAGGCACTTGCCAGTATTATTTTCACCGAAGGAGAAAAGACTTCGGGACGTTTCTACTAAACGCTATCCATGGAACCAGGTGGGCTACAGCCTGCTGCTCAGTGGAGACTCTGTGTGCAAGTGCAAAAAGGCCTCTGTATAGAAAGTTCACCAGCTTCAGATGTTTCACCATTGCTTGGTTGAAGGTTTTGTAAAGAAAATGCCAACAATATTTTTCCTAATGGAAAAGACTTTGGGCCAAATCTACCAAATGTTTGTGGTTGCACTATCAGCATTTTGCATTGGCTGAAGCACAAACAGCTGAGCTGCTTGTTTTCGCACAGCTGACTCCATGAATATGCATGCTAGTTCCAATGAAGTGTGTCAATGTCTAAAGAACAATGGTGGTTTATTTATGGGAACTGGCCAAAAAACTGTTTAAACAGCAAGGAGAATCGACAATGTCTGCTGCCCTGAAGGTGTGAGAGAAGAAAGACTTCAAAACTCAAATTCCTTTTTTTACTCTTCATTGCAAATAAACATGGAATTTTACACATTTCTTGAATTGGATTTCCTTCACTTTTTCCATTTAACAGTTTTCTTGTATTGCTTGTTTTGTTTTAGGCTGTAAATTAGTTCCCTCTTAAAAAAGTAAATGTATCGAATGCATTGAAACGTAAATGGCCAAAATCATTTAGCTTTGTCATTTCAAATGATCCCATTTGTGGTTGATGTCATTTAAAAAGCGGATTGTAGTAGATCACTTGCAAAACTAGAGCCAGTTGCACTCCAACATTTTAGCACACACTAAAGGTTTTTCCTGCTTCTTAGAAATATATGAAGCTATAACTTATTATTAGGTTCATTGGGATTTTTGCAAACATGATAAAGCTTGTAACTGCAGCTAGTAGTGGACGGTATACTGGTTCATCTACAGGAATGGCTGATCTTTTAGCCCCAGAGCAATTGTCGTACCACCTCTTCTACCCCTGAGAAGCCACCTGACTTGGTCAGCTACATCGGTCTCGTGGCCTCGTCTGCCGTCAAACTGTGGAACAGCTAGTACTGAAGTGTGCATGACTGTAATGTTTTCCTAATGCCAGCAGTGTCCAAATTTCAAGTTGGCTTCTTATTTGAATTTTTTGTTCCACCTTAAATGATGTAGAAATACCAATGAAGTGCCTGTACAGAGGATGTAACTGCTTCTCCATTTAAGGTGGAACATGAAATTCAAAGAAAAAGCTGCAGAACAAGAGACCTTGTAGAAATTCAGACGTGAAGCAACATTTTTGCAGGGCAAGCAATACTGACAAAGGATTGTCAACATATTGTTCATTTTTGCTTTTACTGTTTGACACAATAAAAAAAAAAACAACAAATGTACTTTCGTTGGTAAAAATGGTTGATATTGAAATATGATGAAACATCCCATAATTAATTCAAAAATTGAATTAATTATATATAATGTGATTAAAAAATTGAATTAATATATTAATATTGTATAATGTGATATATACTGAAAACGAACTTTAATTATACCACCCACTACTAGATACAGTCTAGCTACAAAAAGGCCATATTAGATGTCAATTGATAGTAGTTACAGGGTTCTAGCATGGAAATTTGTGTGCCAAACAGGCTGGTGTGCGATGCTTGCTGTCTTTAGAGCTCATTTCCCACAGCGTTAAGGGCTGCTCAGAGGCAAAGCGCAAGCTTCCCGTAATGCGGATGGGCCAACAAGAAAGAGAGAGAATGCTTTTTCCACAGCTGTATCCCAGCAACAGCTTTGTTTTGGGGAGTCAACAACTTCAGGAGTTGGAGTCACAGTCCGGCTTGGAGCCTGAATGAATTTCGGATCCGTGAATCAAGCCCAGCATTCCCTCGTGTTCGCAGGCGAGCGCATCACGAGGTTCGGAAGCTCTCTCACGTCAGAGCAGAGGGTTTTCCCAGATCCTTCCACAGTCACACTTCTCCAAAAACAAATTAGGAGTCAAGAAGCACGTGCGGTTGTGTGTAAATGATGATGATGATGATGATGATGATGATGATGATGATGTTGGAGAACTTGCCTTTTTTCCATTGTGGAGGTGTTTCTGGAATCATGTTCAAGTTTTTTTTTTTTTTCCATCCCATCAGAGACTTCACAACCCACTTCAAAAAAATCCCAGCCCTTTCTGTTTTTTCCATGCTAAACATCCAAAGCCAAGCCTCTGCTGTGAACATCCCGAGTATTTATCAGAGTTTAGGTGACGCCACATTAGACACATAAATGACCAGCAGCCCCTTCCCCATTAGAACTAACTCGGTTAACCCCATGGTCTCCATCTATAGAATCCCACTAACAGGCATTTACAGCATTGATGTCCAATCGCTCAATAAGCGCTTCCATTGCTGCATCAAAGCAGCATGAAGAAATGACAGACTTCAAGTACCCTGCCGACCCCCCACCCCCACTCCCTCCACCTCCACCTCCGTCTCCTCCTATAAAGAGAAAAAATGCCACTCAGCAAGCCCTGTCTATGATATTAGTCAGCAACCCCATTAGTCTTAATGGCTGCCTCTGGGCACTGAGGAGCCTAGCTTGTCCTTTTAAAGACTATACAAGGAGCTCATTAAGGCTAAAACAAAGAGGGCTAGTGAGAGAAGGAGGGAGAGAACGAGTGAATGAATGAGTGACTAAAAGGGGTGGTGGGGGAGTGGGAGATCGCCTCCCACTTTTATTGCCCTCCTCCAGACCTCTGGCTCGAAGGGCCTTCGCGACCAAGGCTCTGACCGCAGGAGCCCCCTTAAGATCCGAGCGTTTTGCGCCATCGCTCATATCTGTCAGCTGAAACGTTATCCAGACGGGCTAATGGCTAGCATGCGAGGGATCCCTGTTTAAAAAATCCATAGCTGATCAATAACGCCGGCTCCCTGCTCTCTCGGATCCATTTGAAGATGGGTGGCATCATGGCCAGACCTGCTGCTGAGCAAGACCAGCCAGTATTGACCAGGCTAACAGGGTTATTTAGCCTGGGGAGGCTGAAATGCTACATGCGGTTTTTGCTGCTAAGAAAGGATCTTTGATTAAGACTAACAAAAAGGCTTGCTTTCATTTTCGGAAACACCACCATTTGCTCCCGACGTGGATGAATGTTTTTTGACAGCCCCTTCTCACAGTTGTCAAAAGCGTTGAGTTCCACTTGGGAAATGAGCCGATCAGCACAATGACAATCGTGATGGCGATCTGTTACCATGGCAGCTAATTAACTTAATGCGGGCGCAGACGCACCCCCCCCCACCCCCCACAACACCAATCCTCTCGTCTCCATCTCCCTCTCCTTCAGTCACGGACTATAATGGACCATAATGTCTCACCCAAAACCCTGAGCACAAGTTTATTTTAGCTCACCCAGTTTAGTCATCCCTTTCTAACCGAGGCTGCCTCCGTGAAGACAATCTTAATATAGAACATGCACAAAGAAAGCTTGCAATTACAGGCTGTTATGGTGAAAGGCCAAATTGAGTAAGTTGTTGTAAGCAGCCACAATGGTCAGTTCTCAGCTAATTTCTACAAGGGAACAATCTGTGAAGAGGAACCAAGAGGTTTCCAATCCAGTCCTGTAGTCCACATTTTTGATCTCCCAACATGGTCAAGACTGATTGGGAACCTTCGCAGTAAGCCGTTCCCAAACGCTGGTCAAAGACGGCCCTGTGGATGCGGTGAGAAGATCCTCTGTAAAATGCCAGGTTTGGGTTTTTATTGGTCCAGTCAAGGTGGGCAGGAAATACTCTGAGGTGTTTATGAGGTTTGGGCCAGCATTACGAGGGCACTTGCTCCCTTCACAACAGTCCCACGCTCTTGGCCAGGCGGCCGGCCCATTGAACATTATTCCTGATTTGCTTCGACCGGACTTCTACCCTCCAGTAAGGGCAAGCAAAGAGAAAAGTTGGAGCTTGTGAGTTTTGGAAAGAGATGTACAGTCAAGATCCAATGTGGTTAATTTATCAGAGTTTTTAAACAGACTGACAAATTATTTCCCATCACAGTGGAGTCAGGAGATGAGACATTTGGAGGTCAGTGTTAGTTTGGCACTGGATATCACTAAACAAGCAAATAATGATTCATGGATATTTATGCACCATGTGATATCACAAATTAAGCAATCAGTTGCATCATTGTAGTTGGGTTTTCTCTCTCTCTTTTTTTTTTTGGTCTTGAGAGATTGCTCAACTCTGTTCACAGTGAGTATGTACAAGATGTGACTTCTGCTCCTCTGTGAAATCGCTCTTTGTCAACATCTGCCTCTCTTTGCTGAAGTAGCCCATTGCAGTGGGTATAAAGGAGCCATAGAAGTTCCCAGAACTAATCAAGAGCAGGAGCGTGTCCAAAAAAATGAATAAATAAATAAAAATAACATCAATAAAGAGCCTTTTTCGGGCCAAATGTGATAGTAAGACGGAGCTCCCTCAGGACACGCCAGAAAACGTGACGATATTCTCATGGAGGGAGAGCTAAAAGGAATGTAATTGAATTGTGAATCACACGGCGCCGCCCCCATTCACAGCGTCGTGTTTTTCCCCCGCCCGTTTTCCGACAAGCTCCGCCCACCTTCCCTGGGATTGGGTTTTAGCTTATATTCACAAACAGTCCCTCAAGCGCATGTGTGTAAATCGTAGGCAGAGGACCGATTACTCCTAGCCAATCGCAGCGCACGAGGGCGGGGTTTGTCTGTAAACGGGTGGGAAAAAAGAGAAACGAACACGACAGGCTAGACCCCACAGCAACGCCCTGACGGAGGTAGAGAGACGGAGGGAGGGAGAAAGAGAGAGAGAGAGAGAGAGAGGGGGAGAGAGAAGGAGAAAGAGAGAGAGTGAAAGAGAGAGAGAGAAAGAGAGGGAGAACGAAAGAGAACTTTGTATGTGAGAAACAGGGCATCATTTTGGGGAGAATTTGTAGAAAAAGGAGGAGAACCCGTCAGTGTTTCTTTCCCCCTCAGTAGGGCACGTTGAGCCGTTACCGGAGCTGAAGGAGGGAGCACGTGAACTGTAACAGTGTGTTTTGGAACTACAGTAGAGACGAAACACATTGAATGCGAGACCATGACGGCAGCTGTCGATATGAAACCGACGTTAACTATAATAAAAGCTGAAAAAGTGGACGGTGAGTAAAACTGAAACGCTTTTTTTTCTCTCTCTCTGCTTGAAATGCTGGATGTTTGGTGCTGGCGCTCGAGCGTCTTTTTGTGAGGCGTTTTGCGGCGCCTAACTTTTTTGACTGACTTGAGCAGTTAGCCTGTAAGACGGGGTTAATACAACACGGGGTCTGAGGTAAACCCTGTTTAGGTGGGTGTTCGTCGTGACAGTTTCAGTACTGTAAGGCAAAAATACTGCGCAGCCAAAGAACAAGACAATGCGTTTCCATGAAGAGCTCCAGATGTGCCCATCAATTATTTATCGCCTTTCAGCGCGCTGGAGCTGCACGCAGCCTGACTGCGAGAGAGATATCAGTTATCAGACGGACAGAAGTGAATACATGGCTAATAACCCTGCTGATTCTTGAGTGGAGGTTGCGCACATATACCTGTTGGTTGTGGAGCTGGGGAGTGGGAGGTGGTGGTGAGCTGTACAGTTGTTAACTTCTGTCTAGATCAGTATTAATGACTGTATGTGGCAAGGAGTGATGAACCAATGCACAGCTGAATATCCACGCAGGTTTCTTGCTTCTCTTTTTATGCCCAGCAAAGTGCTGGAGAACAGTGGTGTCACCTATTCATGTTTTCTTTGCAAGAGTGATGCATTAACTTTACTTGATTCAAAAATAATGGCTGTGTAATTTCTAGAGATGGCACCGATCCGATATCAGGTATTGGGATCGGACCGATGTCAGCGATGTCCAGTTGAATCTTGTTACAAATCTAGTCTTATGGGGTTTGAGTAGTTTGATATCCTACATTCGGATGCCCATCTTGAGTGAAGTGCTTCATTTGAAAATAGCCAATTTTTTAAAAAAATGTGCAGAAATTCAATGCAGCACTTTTGGACTTATTTTTCAGATATACAGCAGATGTCTCTCGTTTTCTTTCTATGTCTGTATCTCTCGCTCTCTAAGTCACCCCCCGCCCTCACCCCCCCACCTTGTTGAATGTTGAATCTTGCTTATGCCTCGATTGGCAAGTGCTGACAGAACGTTGCTCGTCATGATGCTGTTTCACTGCCCATTCATACCACATCATTTCAGCGTCCCGGGACGGCCAAAGGGCGGAGGGAGGGCGCATGCCATGCGGCTTTAAGCAGTCAGCATTATCATCCTCCCCCTCACCGTCCTGACAAGACACTCCTTAGGCTCGGCCTGAGGTGATGAGTGTGCAGGCTAGTTAATGCTTACAGAGAGTGTGTGCAGGGGTGTCTGCGAGGGTGAATACAGCCTTAGCCTTGCTGTACACTCGTCCAATGCACTTTTTTGAACGTGACCCTGTTCGTGCTCGGTCAGCGGGGCAGCGGGAGTTCAGTGGCCGCTGGTTTTTCCTGAGTGAAAAAAGCTGACATCTCTGAACGGTACTCCCTCTCTCTCTCTCTTTCTCTCTCTCTCTCTCTCTCTCTCTCTTTCTTGGGCTCTCTCGCTCAATCTCTCTCAAACGCACACACCACACCAGCTGTAGACACATCATGGAAACGTGTTATTCACCCCACAAGCGTGTCATACTGAAAGCTGACCGCTGTCTGAGGTGTGAGATGTGAATCACTATAATGCACATGCACATATGAACATGCACATAAACACAAGCGCACACACACACACACACACACACAGGCGACCCTCTCTCGCATGCTCACACATTTTTATCAGGCGCATGGAAAAACACTTGTATGCTATTTAAGAAAAAAAAAAAACTAAAGTTGCTGATAGTTGCATTGCACTTGCCAGAACTTTGCGCTATCTTGCAAAACCATTTCACAACACAGGCTCCCTCTTGCCCGGTCAGTCAGGAAAGCCCTGGGTTAGCAGTCTTCACTGCCAAAGAATGAACTCTCAGCATAAGGCTTGCTTTAATCTGGCCCGCTCCTCCACTCTTTGTACCTGTTACATTGCGGGGGGAAACAAACTACAGCATGTGTTCATCCTTGGTGGGCTGCGGATGTAGCAACAGGTTGGAGGCTGCGGAATTGAAAGAGAAGAAGAAGATGCAGAGAAGCAGAAAGAAACCTACCAGGCGTGAGGGGTGGGAGAGATGATAATATGATATTGTTATCCTGATGAATAAGGATAAGCTTTTGGGAAAATACTGTGGGCATCTTTAGTACTTAACCCATTGAAATCCCTTATTACATTCTAAGGCTTATTATTGAGAAAGTACTGGGACTTTAATGCAAACAGGTTGAATTCTTAGGTTGTAGAAGTGTGTAATAAAACTTTGGGCCTTGGCCATTTAAGTGCTTAAAGAATATTGGCGGACTCCATTCTAAGATATTTCGAATGTCAAAGTGGTGGAGATTGTTTGAGTCCTGGCAATGTTGACAATGTAGTGCAGCGCAAGATATGAAATGGTGTGTACGAAAAAAAAAAGGTCGCACTCATAGTTTGTGATAGCTTTACTTAAATATGGCACTACTGGTGCATTATATTCCAACCTACCAAACTTGGGGGAAAAAAATTAACATTTTGATATGTATCATGTGTCTTGACAATGTCTTAAAGTTTGGCGACATTATATTTTTGCCATATTGTCCACTCATACCATGCAGTCATGCCCCGAATCCAACCATGCAATGTTTTCCATTAGCTCTGCTGTTGTCCAGTGACACTATGTAACTGTTTGACAGGTGTTATTAGGTGAAAACAACCGTTAACATGGACTTCTGACCTCCTGACTAGTCTTATTTTGTCAATGCATGCTTGAATTCTCTCAGCTTCTCTGTGTCCTCCCCTCTGTCTCTTTCCTTTTCTCTCTCTTCCCTCTGTTTACACAAAGGTGATGAATTGTCAAGCTAAATGAATCAAGTCAAGAGCCACACAGAAGTAGTTTAGAGTTCATCAGAGATGATCTGATTTACTCTAAAGACAAATAGAGGAAGAACAGACAATGGAGGCTCCACTAGGACGACGGCCTCGGCGAGAGCACTTAGGTTCACAAATAGAACTGCCTGAATAAGATTGGGTTTGCACATTCACGTGTTTTAGCCCAAGCAACGCAGCCCCTGAGACAAATCTTCCTGAGGACCAGCACTCGTGAAGGTTGCGGCCATGACTTATACATTCTGAACCAGATGCAGATGCAAACCACATGCTAGTACAGCCCCAAAGGGCACCATGAGCCAGACTTTTTTGAACTAGCTAGCGCTTTCAACAGCATGAAGACCCAGCAAACAAAACAGTATCAAACGTCCGAGCGTGCAGAACGAGCTAAGATGTGCACTCATGATGGTTGGTGTCAAAGCGCTTGACGACAGGGCTGCTTCTTTCATGTCTGACCAAAGAGTACTTAGCACGGCCAAGTGGGTCAGCAACAACATGAGAGAAAGCCAGAGGTCACCTCCCACCCACTCGTTTCAGGCTGCAGAAAGAAGTAGCTGTTGGTGAGGGTGCTTCTTTCTTTCTTTCTTTCTTTCTTTCTCTCTCTCTCTCTGTTGGAAGCCAGGGTTCAGCGAGTGACAGGAATGTGTAAGGGCTGGGTGGGCTGCCTGTTGCCCTCTTTTATCTGATTAAGACATTGCGCTTGATCGTCTCTCTCTCTCTCTCTCTCTCTCTCTCACACACACACACTTCATAGATATGCACTATCAACAATGGACCACATTATCAGCATTCATCAGTTACACTGTGCAGCCTTGAGACACAGTGACCTCACAAGCCTTGCAGTCCTTGCTAATGGCCTGCTCGCATATACTGTCTCACTAAGAGCATCATATAGCACTGAATCCACTATATAATGAACAAATAGTCCGAGGCCTTTATTTAGTTTTTGACAAAATGATTCTGCAGGCCTAACAACAGCACTACAGCGCTACATCTGTTGTGTTTTTGGCTTCTAATTGTTTTTCTAAATGCTGATGCTAGTCAAAAACTGACCCATGCTAATCGGCTGCCAGTCAGGAATTTGCAAAAAGCAGCCATTTTTTTCCTGTGTTACATAAGAAGTTCCAGCCTGAGGGTTTTTACAGTTGGCTTTTCCCTGCCCGTTGCCCTAGCAAGAGCCCAGCCCAGGCTCTCTTTGCCAGACTGCGGGCATGCTGGGCACCCTGGCAGCTGTGCAAACATTAAGCTAGGTGATGCACACTCATCTGATGTGGGTGGCTGGCAAAGCAAAACAAATGACTAGGCCCCAGCTCGTTTTTAATAGGTCTCTGAGCGCTTTACGAGTCAGGCCAAAAGTATTTATGAGAGATGTGAGGCATGCCAAAGAGTGGAGGACCTGAGCAAGCTCACTTAACGCATTCTTGCACCTTCTTTATTGCACCTACCTCATTTGTAATCATAAGGCAGAATATGTTTTACAGTTGAGGAATTAATATATACAGTTCACTTTATACTCAAGGAATATGGGTATTGTTGTCAAAGCGGAGTTTTTGAGCTCTGGCCAAACGCTCTTAGATGAAACAAGTCTTGCTTCTTAGTGACGTGCGCCGGTGAAATGACTCCCCCTTGGCGGAATGTGCGTTGGCTAAATGACTCGCCTTTGAGAATGCCTGACTTGTGACCACACATATTTATTGTTCCCTTTAACATGTAGTCATCAAAGGGGGGTGGGGAGCGTTTACCTTCAGACACAACTGGCTTCTAAATAGTAAGCATGTGTGAGACAGAGTCCAGACTTTTGACAGTCCAGACGTAGCTGACATGTTAACCTGTGTCTCTTAACATCTATGGATCGGTGATGGGATAGAAGAACATTCTTTCAGATGTGTTGCAGCAGACTTGACCCATTTTTATAACGCCGTCGACTTCTCAACAGCCAACGTCTCCAAAGCTCTATGCAAAAACCAAAACAAAAACAAAAGAAACAGTGTGTCCCCAAGCGGGGAAGAAAAAACAAGACGGAATTCTTTTTTTCAACTCTTTACAGCATCTCGTTTCTCCTTTCCGTCTATGTCTTGCCCCCCACTCCTCTTTTTTCCTACCCTCATTCCCTCCCTCTGCAGCACACATACGCCTTCTTTGTCGCG